ACTAATGCAGACCAAATTGCCTCAGAGAAGTTTAAATTGTAAAAGGGGAAAATGAAATGATTATAAAACTAGAAAGCCTAAGCTGAGTTGGAGGACAAAGGGGGTAGAAAGGAGGAGTTCAGACTTGAAGTACTCCATGTACAGACTGACCAAAATTGGAGGGAAAGAAAAACTCATGGCACCACCGTAATACCCAGGAATGGAAATGTCCTTGGAAGGAGGACTTAGACTTCAGACACAGACAGATCAAATACATGTAGATAAGGCTCCTTGGATTAATAATATGAACAGATATTGAACATCTAGGCTTTTAGTATTCTTAGGCAAGAATGTACAGACACTAATAATATAGGCCTGAGAATGTTGAAAGTGAGTGTAAAAGTGCCTAGGAGTGGAGTAAGACTGAATTAGCAAGGAAGTAAGAAGGCATACTGTGGAACCTCAAGAGATGATAGGATGGAGAAGCATGTCTGATTTATCGGTCTTATGTAACCCATAGGAGTATAGTTGGCAAGGGTTGATGATTGTGATCTTATGATAGGGGTTCAACTATGGACAACTGTTTTTTAATTGTTTCACTTACTGAAGAAAGGTGGTTATTAATCAGGGAATGTGTGTATATATATATACCAATGCACAAGTTCATTTATATGCAGTTAGGATGCAGTTAAAGGATGTGATTCATCATAAAATAAGCCTTAAGAAATCAACTTTCTTTTAGTAACATTCAATGCATATGTATCTTTGAAGCAGGAATTTTAGGCAGTTGTAATGTGTGATTTTAAAAAAGCCAAGTGATGATGTGGATGATGGTGATGCTAATTATCATTACTTTTGCCTTTATCTTCCTTGATCAATTATTCATTTTCCCTATGCATGGGACTTCAATTCTTTCCAGCTAACCAGATTATCCGGTCACAAGAGGTAGAACGCGTGATGCTGCGCGTGGACCGAGGTTTATACAGCAAGCACAATCCATATATGGACTCACCACAAGGCATTGGATATGGTGTTACAATCAGCGCTCCTCATATGGTAAATTTTAATTGTTGCTTGTGTGTATCTTTGAGAAATTATTATTTGAAGTCGTTTATTTCAGCTCTTGGATTTTAGTTTAAGGAAGTAAAGTAGTGACTGTGTTACGAAAATACCAGCAAAATTAGAACATTCAATTTAATGGTTGGTTAAGTTTTTCATATGTCATGAATACCTTTTGATCCATGTTTTTCCTATTTGCTTTACATTTTTTTCATGTTTTATTTATTTTTTCAAGCATGCTCATGCACTGGAGCTACTGAGTGCACACCTACAGAAAGGTAACCGTGCCCTAGATGTTGGCTCTGGAAGTGGGTATCTGACTGCCTGTATGGGTCACATGGTAAGAAAATGCTGGTGTATATTCTATTTTATCTATGCTCCTCATCTTTCTCAGCCTTAAAATGAAACTTTTTTTTACTTTTAAGAAGTAATGCCTCGGGTAAAAAAAAAAGGATGGATTATGCCACTCACAGGCAATAATTGATAAATGGAAGTGAAATATGAATCAGATCTTTCCATTGCACCCATATTCTTATTAATATTTTGTAATAATCCATAGAGCTTTCATTCTAAGCTTCTCTATTCATGTAGGTTGGTGAAACTGGTAAAGCTGTAGGTATTGACCACATACCAGAGCTTGTCAAATTTGCTCAAGACAACATTCAGAAGGATAGTCCAGACCTCCTGTCATCAGGCACAATAAAACTTGTTGGTTAGTGTCTTTTCAAATATGTAATGGGATGATGTGCATGCAAAGGATTAGATATATCTTTACCTTTTATGTATTTTCTTTTCTTTTAACTTTTACAGAATTTATATGTGCTTTATTATATAATGCTGAAAAGAGTATATATGGTTGAACTACTGTGCTTCACTTATTGAAGTTATAATATGTAACCCAGGGATTTGATTGTATAAAGTGGTTGCTATCTAAGAAAGTTCCAAGTAAGAATACATCATTTTGCAAAAAGAATTTGTCTGCATGCCAAAGTTTTATTGTATTAGTAGAAATATTACTGTCTTCAGTTTGATAAGACTTATAGGCATTAAAATACAGTTTGTGTGATATTGTGCTAAATATTTTGTTTCAGTTGGTGATGGTCGACTAGGACATAAGGAAGAAGCACCTTACAATGCTATTCATGTTGGGGCTGCAGCTCCAACACTGCCTCAAGCACTTGTTGATCAGCTTGCCCCAGGTGGAAGGCTTATCATACCAGTTGGCCCTGAAGGAGCAAACCAGAACCTAGAACAGGTAGGTTGAAATCCCTTGAAATAGACAAAGTCAAAGTTAAGGAAGCAGTTTTAAAAAGTATTAACTAGAAGACAAGCCATACAAAATGCAGTCCACTTATTTCTCTTCATCGTAGAATGAACTTGATTAACTTGTTGACTATATGTTTAGAAACTAGTTATCATTTGATCAAAACACTTCCTTATTACTGTTTTTTCTATCTTTATGTCTTTGGAATGACAATTTCAGATTGATAAATTACCTGATGGGAGCATAAAACGACAAGTGCTCATGGGCGTCATCTATGTCCCTCTCACTGACAAGGATCATCAGTGGCCTGGAAGGTTAGTGAGAAAATGGAGAACTAAGGTGTTAATCCGTAAGGAACGAAGGGAAAGGGAAAATTCAGAGAAGAATGATGATTAGTGCTCTTATTTCTAGATGGTCACTTTTAAGGCACATTCATCACCTTTTTTCTTCTGTGTATGCCTTAGTATATAAGTAAATTATGCTGTTAAATATCATGGTAAAGGCTTTAATAATGCAAATATTCATTCATAAATTCATGCTGTAGTATGTAGACAAAGATTTGCTTAAAGAAAAGACAAAAGATATGTTACCTTGTTCACATAACAATAGCAAATTTTTTTTATTAAAGTAAGGGACCTTTTCATTTTTCTGTTTCAGTGCACAATCTGCATAGTGCGTGGTCATTAAATCTAAAAGTATGAAAGATGCATTAGTTTTCACCAGAGGAAAATTGTTTATTAATACATGAATGGATAGTTAGAAAAAAGTTGTAGGTTTCAAGAAAACTGCACACTGATATTAGCAAGATAACATTGAGAATTTCATTTTCATGTCTAGTTAAATTGGCCAATTTAGTTCTTTACCCGTTGGATCCGTTTGTGTCTTGGAAATTGTGGTGCCAAAAATACAGCAGCGGGTTACATAAGTAGCTAACATCCCGGGCATGTGATGTGTAAGCCAGGTGTGTGCGAACACCCATGAGCCATGACAAGACTCTATGCATCCCCTTTGTAAAGTTATTTTGTGTAAACTTTTTTTGCCTTTTTGCCATTTTCCAATGTCCATTTTTGACTTTTGATTTGCTTTATCCAGATGGTAATAGCTTATTTTTCTTGCACACAATCCATGTCATCTATCCCCATAGTAAAGTACTCAGTGTAAGAAAAAAAGAATGGAACATTTGGTTATTTGTTACATATCTCATTTTTTTTTAATTTTCAATTTTCCATAATACAACCTGCACCTCCGGTCATAGCAGTCAGAAATACAGTGCGCAGCATGGAAATGGTGTCCTCCCTGGAACCAGCACTCTTACACAGGCTACATTCCACATTCGTATATCGATGGGAATAAAGCCCCCTCTAAGCGCCAAATGAATCAAATCACACTCAAAGAGGTTTAATCACTCATGGCGAGTCTTTCCTGTCACCCTGGCTTTCGCTCATGACAAAAAGTTGGCATCATCCGGCTCGTAGCAATTTAGCCTGATGACGGCATGTTCATGTCACCCGGCCCTTGACCCAGATTTTACCATGACGGGACTGTAATGTCATCCGGATCGTAGGAGTTAAAGGGGATCATCTTACTTATAAACATAGTCATAGTTTTAGGTTTAACCTGTGAATTCCTTTTCTGCCTCTTCTGCCTAAGCTGAGAATGTATATGAATATGATAGAGAAGGTATTACCCCCAGTATTTACAGTACTAATACATAGGTCCAAAGCATTGAAGGCAGAATTAGAAAATTGTATTTGGAGTTCCTCTTACATACATCTCAATTATTTTGAAGAGTAAAGGTATTTACTCAATAAACTTGATATATAGATGTTTTACAGATATTTTCATATAGCCATTTGAGGCAATAGCTCTCACACATTTGTTTATTTTAGCCTAGAAAGCCAAATACCAAAAAGTGCTAACAGTGTACATCAAAAATGGCAAAAAGAAAACTGTTTTAGGATTTTTTTAAGATGATTGGTCATTTATCTGTATGCAATCAGTGAATGCAGATAAGCATGTTTGTCTTTTGACTTGATCTTATCTTTTCATGTCTAAACCATTTTCTTGATGTAGTGTTGTCAAGTGTGCCTTTGATGTCATGAATTTGGATTATTTACTTATTAGAAGTGTCCATCTTTCATGTTTCAGATGCCCAGAAGAAATGACAGGCTGGGAATGCCCAATATAATACATTCAGTATCTTATGATAAATATCTATGTGGTTTTTTAACCTGTTGACTGTTCTTATGCACAGCATTCATCCCTTTTCAAGAAGGAGTGTTTTTGATTTAGTGCTTTACCTGATGTTAAGTTACCCTTTTAATAAGTAAGATATGGATTGATATGTTATTTTAGATTTCTTTTGCAATAACAGTCCTCTATTCTTTCTTAAAGCATAGTTTTTTTTGTGATAAATTCAGTCTAGATGAGTGACAAGCAAAAAAGTATGATAATTTTGAACAAGGGTGCTAATACTTGGGAATAGAAATTATGATACCTTTGCTAATGAAGAAATTAAATGTTTCATTTTTCAATTCTCAAATTGATTATTGTAGAATAAAAAAAATGTCCACCTAGAAATTCAGTGCTTTGATTCAAAATTAGACCAAAGAGTAACTCACAATGGTCATTTATAGGCAGAATTAGTCAAATATATGAAAGAGCTTCACAAAATAAAATTCAGTATATGTAGATTACTCAGCTTATAGGTTATTCATTCTCATTCATAATTTCTGAAAAATGGTTCCAATATATGTTTTAAAGTTGAGGCAATGTGTTGTTGCTGTTATATATGGAAAAAATGAATAGTTGATGTAACAGTTTTTAATTTTTGAGGTTTTTAGTTTTGAATTAGATTTTAGATAGTATATGAATATGAATGTGTGTGTGTGCGTGTGTAATTGCATGTGCATTTGCGTGTGTGTGTTTGTGCACATGCGTGTGTGCATGTAACCTTTTTATCCAGTGTGATCGAAAGACAGAGCATACATTATATTATTCATATGAGCAGAATAACATCCATTTCTCATACAAATTAAGAGTAAAAATATATTATTCTCACAATTCATAAGTACTCGTAAACATTTTTTTTACTTAACTAAATCTATACAAACCAAAATAGTCGCTATTTTGAAATCTTATTTTTTGATACAGTATTAGTTTGAATTTTTATCACACATTTACTGTTATTGAATCAAAGTAATTTTGACAAGTAATAATGTGCTTGTTGTTTAGTACTAAATATTTTTTTTTATCTTTATTTATTATTCCTTATTTATTATTCCTAAAAAAAACAATTTACAGTTTGTTGTCACGTATTGATACTAATTTATACATTGAAGCTGTAAAATTTCTTATTTTGTACATTTTTTGGCAAAAGTCTTGACCATATCTGATAGGTTGATTGGAATATATTGTTGATTAAATCCTGTTATGAATGTATATATAAATCTGATATTTTCATTGTACATGTAAAACAAATTTTATGTGCACCCACCTTAGCACCAAATTTTAAATAGCAAGTTTGCCACAGAACAAAAAATGTGACATTAGCAAAGGGAAAACATTTTGAGTACTCCTTTATTTCTAATTGTAGTTTATACTGTAAGGTTTTCAAAAAAATGTTTAAGAACTACGTTATTTCTAATTGTAGTGTATACTGTAAGGCTTTCAAAAAATGTTTAAAAGTAGTTACAGTATTGGATCCAGGGGGTGTTCAGTGGGAGTTATGCCTCTCCTAATTCTTCTAAAACTTTTACACACGTCTTTTTCAAAACTGAACAAGATGAATAATAAATGTTTATTCAAAGTCTTTTCTGTCAGCACTATCTTTGCAATATTATTTATAAAATGATATTCCTGTTTACATAAAACAAAAATCAGTATTGGGCAGTCCTTTGGGACAGTGCCAGTAATTTGGTGAACCCCCTCGATTTTTTCTTGTATCTTCTGGTGTGATATATAAATTTATGTATAGTAATAGTGTGAACTATATATGTGTAGTGCATATGCATGTATTACATTAATAAACAGCAAGAGGGTTTGCATTTGTTGCCAAACTTATCCTTGTAAATGAGTTAATGCAAACTTTTTATATTCATCTATCAATTATATATATCTACATTCATCTATCTCATATATATCTATCTATCTATTTCATATTTGTCTAACTGCCTGCTTATCTGTCTACTCACCCAAACACCCACGAGACTTCTTGTTACTCAAAATGGTTATTTCATAATTGTTCTTTGCTGCCATAGACAATAAACCTTTGATTAAATGGAAAATGTAATATTTTATTTGCAAAAGGTGGGTGCATGATGCAAAATACAGTAAAATGTCACATGTGGAGATGTGGACAGCAGTACATGACTACTTTTTGTCATTTACATATATCATGATAGGTAACTGTAAAGAAACTCCACAGTCTCAATATCGACTGATAGGCAGCAAATATGTATACCTGTTGTTTTCTCTTTTTTACCAGTTCCTTAGTAACTGATATCATTCAATTACTATATTGGTTATTTAACTGTAGAACACCATTGAAACACCACACGTGGAAATGTGGACAGCAGTACATGACTATACTGTTTATCATTTACGTTATATATCGTGATAGGCAACTGTAAAGAAACTCTAAAGTCTTAGCATCGACTGATAGGCAGCAAATATGTCTTCCTGTTGTTTTCTCTTTTTTACCAGTTCCTTAGTAACTGTTATCATTCAATTACTATATTGGTTATTTAACTGTAGAACACCATTGAAACACCTGGGTCTTATAGACCTGAAGATAAGAAAAAAAGAATGATTGTAATCATTTTGTTTCCTCTTTACCCTTTTCACTATTGAATCTTCCTATAGTGCTATATGAGCTTTGCCATCTAGCACTTTTATTTTCTTTAAACTGTAATTTTGTTTTATTTAATTAGTTGTTTAACAACATTTTTGGCTCTGTTATCTATGGATTTTAAGATAATCTGGTCTATACTGTTTACAAAAGAAATAAAATAAAAATACAAGATGTTTAAATGGACTCCATATAAAAACAAAAGACATAATGGTGTTCACATTGCATTCGGAATTAGTGGGATGAAATGTCTTCATGATTCAGAGACTTTAGTACAAATGATGTAACTAGATCTGTAGAGGAGGTTGAAAAAAAAGAAGTTGGTGCGTATTAGCTTACATTTTATCATCCAACAAAGATGCAACCATAATATTGGCAATGCTTTTGTTGTTATATTTTTTATGTAATGCTCAGTTTTAGAGGTATTCTATACCAAACATCATAACCTTGACAGTGTACAGGTCATTGTTTAGTCACAGTTCATGCAGACAAAGTGTTAGTGGGCAGCATATACAAGATTGTTACAGTTGATGCTCAGGTACCTTATCTTTTTGTCCTTTCCTGGACTGCTTGGCTATATCCTCTTAGTTTCCAGTTCAGAGCAGCTTCTCTGGGGGATGTTAAATTCAGGGAAGACAGGGTATCCTAATGAAGTACACCTTGGTTTCATAGACAACCATAATTTTATTGCAATATGGTCAAAATCAGAGAGAAGTTCTGAAACTAAGACATCTATACTTATCATTGGCAGCAAACACCAAAAACTGTTTAGAAGCACAGGGGCCCTTGGCACCTAAAACTTACTGAACCAAAAGGTGCTACCAAAGTGCCAGGGCTCTCACACCCAGGAGTCAAGTTGTGTTGATGGTTGCTACCTTATGCACGCACGCACGCGTGCGCGCACACACACACAGAGTAAGAGAGAGAGAGAGAACAAGGAAGAGCAAAAGAGAGAGGGAAAAAGAAAGAGTGAGTGAACAAGAGTGAGAGAAAGAGATAGAGAGAGAAAGAGAAAGGGAGAGAGAAAGAGAAAGGGAGAGAGAGAGAAAGAGAAAGGGAGAGAGAGAGAAAGAGAAAGGGAGAGAGAGAGAGAAAGAGAAAGGGAGAGAGAGAGAAAGAGAAAGGGAGAGAGTGAGAAAGAGAAAGGGAGAGAGAGAGAAAGAGAAAGGGAGAGAGAGAGAAAGAGAAAGGGAGAGAGAGAGAGAAAGAGAAAGGGAGAGAGAGAGAGAAAGAGAAAGGGAGAGAGAGAGAAAGAGAAAGGAGAGAGAGAGGAGAAAGAGAAAGGGAGAGAGAGAGAAAGAGAAAGAGAAAGGGAGAGAGAGAGAAAGAGAAAGAGAGAGAGAGAGAGAGAAAGAGAAAGGGAGAGAGAGAGAGAGAAAGAGAAAGGAGAGAGAGAGAGAGAAAGAGAAAGGGAGAGAGAGAGAGAGAAAGAGAAAGGAGAAGAGAGAGAGAAAGAAAGAGAAAGGAGAGAGAGAGAGAAAAGAGAAAGGGAGAGAGAGAGAGAAAGAGAAAGGGAGAGAGAGAGAGAGAAAGAGAAAGGGGAGAGAGAGAGAGAAAGAGAAAGGGAGAGAGAGAGAGAGAGAGAGAAAGAGAAAGGGAGAGAGAGAGAGAGAAAGAGAAAGGGAGAGAGAGAAAGAGAAAGGGAGAGAGAGAGAGAGAAAGAGAAAGGGAGAGAGAGAGAGAAAGAGAAAGGGAGAGAGAAGAGAAAGAGAAAGAAGAGAGAGAAAGAGAAAGGGGGAGAGAAAAAGAAAGGGAGAGAGAAAGAGAAAGAGAAATAGAAAGAGAAAGGGAGAGAGAAAGAGAAAGGGAGTGAGAAATAGAATGGGAGTGAGAAAGAGAAAGGGAGTGAGAAAGAGAAAGGGGGTGAGAAACAGAAAGGGAGTGAGAAAGAGAAAGGGAGTGACTTTGACTTTGACTTTGACAAGTTTATTGAGACAAAAGGTTACATAGAGAGAGAGAAAGAGAAAGAGAGAGAGAGAGAAAGAGAAAGAAGAGAGAGAAAAGAGTAAGAGAGAGAGAGAGAGAGAGTAAGAGAGAGAGAGAGAGTAAAAGAGAGTGAGAGTAAGAGAGAGAGAGGGAGAGAGAAAGAGAGAGTGGTTAAAAAGGATAAAATGACATTTGCTCTCATACGTTGTTGTGATGTATATAATGAATTGCATAATTTCAAGCCTTGCATTGTATTGACTTTGTTTACATATGTTGTGCCTTCTTGTGTAGGGAAATTATGACAGTCTGATTTGTATTTTGCTAATTTCTAAACTGTTGATTTGTTTTATTATTATTATTTTTAAATTATTATTATTTATTTATTTATTTTTATTTTTTGACTTAAATGACAAGTAGTCTTCACCGTTTTTGTTAATAAGTTAGATAGTCAAGTCATCTTTTCGTATTAACCCATTGATGCTAGGAGAGTTTGTGTATGCTAAATCCTTCTTGTTTATTAACCAGTTTGAGGTGGGTAATTGCACTACTTACTGTAGGTAGGTAAGTCCCCCCTCCCCCATGTAGATTGCTCTCTTTTTTTCATATAGATGGCTCCAAAAACACTTAGTCACCAGGAGACAGTTAGTAGGTTTACCAGGTCTCATGATGCCCCCATTTCTTTAGATCAGGGGAAACATATTTTTTTTTCTTGATGTTATTAATATCATTTTTGTTATTATTTGTATTATTATTATTAACATGGGGCCTAGTTCAATGTTATCAGTATCATCAACAATAAAAAAAAGATCTTTCTGAAAATCAAGGAAAAGGGTACAGGTGAAATCAGGTAGAACTAGTAGTTGGCTCCTTGCTGACTAGCCTATGAGCTGTCTAGGTGTAATCAAAATTGATAAACTAAAATCACTGTGGCTATGGCATGTGCATACATGTGTGTGTGTGACCATAGTAGGTTTATTTTGTTTACACATCGATGTCTTCACAAGCACCTACTGCCAAAGAGTCAGTTATTAGGCCTACGTGGTCTCAGCTGTTTACCATTTTCTGTGATTTTTGGAAGGATGTTTCCTTTCTGTTTTTATTATTGTTAACATTGTGAATGATATAATAGTCATAAAGTCAGTAATGATAATAATATTGAAAAGGTTTATAGTGTTAGGGGGGATCTCGAAAATTCAGAGAATGGAGCAATTAGTTGACGTCACATAGGCTACGTAATTAACTCCTTGGTGACTGTGAATGCTTGTAGAGCTATTTATGTTTGATGTAGGTTTGCAAAACAAAGTACAGCGGACAGTGCATGTATCCAGTGACTGTATTATTCCTAAATGCTCTCAAAAATTGTCTTTGATAGGATAAGTGTGAAAGATTTTGGTTATTTCTTGCTCTTTGCTAATGATTAAAGCAGTGATAAATTTGCAGTGTACTTGAATTAGAGAAATTGCTCAAATTTTGTTAAAAGAATAATGTTGAATTGACTTTTTTTTTTGCTTGTCACTCTGCACTATTTATGATCCTTTACTTGTCTCTCTCTGTACATATTTATACCTCTTGCTCTTAACATTATCATTTTGGTAGTTTTGAGTGGGAATATTATGTAATTCTACTTGATCAATAATTTTGTCACTTTTCATGAAATATTAAGAAGTAAGTTTTTCTTTCTCAAAGAGTTTGAATGTTTTATGAGATTTCTTGACATTTGTGAAACTGACAAAATTGAGTAAATCAATAGAAATGTACTTATATTGCTTTCTGTATGTCTCCCCAACTCTCCCTGTATTGTAGGTGGAGATACTAACCTCCGAGGACCGTAGGTGTGGCAGGAGTGTACATCGCACAATTTGTCTCCCCCTACAGACGGGAGCTGTGAGTTACGCCAGCTGAATCATAATTCCTCGCAGGTGCTGCTCCCTACTTTAGTTGCCACCTCTGCCTGCATCTCCGCCACAGCCCACCCCACCATGCCTCCGCCCGCACCTCCGCCTTGTTATGCTGCCTCCCATCCACTACCTGGTCTTCATCCATTAATTGCCACTGAAATGCCAATATCAGGAAACAGGACATGTGACACAGTGAGTTGCTCTGCTTTGAGAACTGAATGTAATATCTCATATAATCAAGAAGTTAATAAATGAAGTCTGTTATCTATTTAGTGATAGATATTGTGCCATCACAATTTTGCAAGACAGCACAATCTTCTTAGTAAGTGTTCTTTTCTGTAACATTATTTAGCTGAATTAATGGCACTGAAAGGATGTTACCAGTTATACCTATATAGTAGTCATCATTGCTTTATCATAAGAAAATATAATAAAAGAATATGTATGTTGTAAGCTTAAAACTTTGCTCGCTGATAGAAGTATTTTGTTTAAGAACTATTAGAGCTACTGTATAGCTATTCAGATTCCTTTAAGAAGAACTGCATTGAGAACACTCTGTGCTGTATGATATGTGTTGCATGGAAGGTCCAGCTGGCAAAAAAGTGTGGACAAGAAGGGGGCCAGTTGTGGGAAGCTCAGGCAGCTGCAGTCTTTTTGGTCTTGTACTTTGGTATGTTATGATGGCAAATCTGCCATAATACTTACAAATGTATGAAGCAGAATCACTAATAATTTTGTTGTTCATCTCAGCAAAAATAATCAGAATTTTTGCTGTTGTATAATCACAGATTTTGTGATCAGTGTTTTGTAACATCATATTTGACTACTGAAATTAATTTATTCAATCCACTCCTACAAATTGTGTTCTCGTTACAATGAGTTCAACTCTAGGCCTGTTTGTTAGAGACAAATAAAATATGAAGGATCAGCAAATATTGCTGCTTTACAGTTAATATTTTATGCTCTTGATGAAAGAATATGAATGTCCTTGCCTACTTATAGTTATGCTTTTTATAGAAGCTCGTAAATGATCACATTGTAAGCATTGCACTTTACACATAACTGGATCCATTAAATCGGCATCCATAAGACACCAAAAATATGGAGTAGGAAAAGCCTTGCAATCATACCTTTGCAAAGAAAAAGGTAGAACTTTGAGCAACAATTAGTTAAGCCCGTTAGTGGAACAAACTTGGGTTATTTAGACACAGCTTTCACAGATGATAAGCATATCTCTTGGAGTATTAGTGCAGACTTTGCAGGATGTATCCATAAATGTTTGGAGAGTAGAATTGGAAAGAATGAGATATCTATTTTTTATGATCTGTAATACTGAAATATTTATAAGTGAAATTTGTTTTGTTTTTGATACATATGGAATGACTTACCAGCGGATAAACAAATTGCTTTTGTTGCTGTTTCCACCATCTCATTTTTAAAAAGGGAAGGAGTACATGAATATGTTAGCATAAATTTTACATAAATCTGTATCCCATATTTATTGTGATTTATGGAAAAAATATGA